GCTAAAGCGCTAAACAGATAAAGCTATTGCTAAAGCACTAAACAGATGAAGCTGATGCTAAAGCGTTAAACAGATAAAGCTATCGCTAAAATGCTAAACAGATAAAGCTATCGCTAAAATGCTAAACAGATAAAGCTATCGCTAAAGCGCTAAACAGATTAAGCTGACGCTAAAGCACTAAACAGAAAGATAACGCTAAAGCGCTAAACAGATAAAGCTATCGCTAAAGCGCTAAACAGATAAAGCTATCGCTAAAGCGTTAAACAGATAAGCTATCGCTAAAATGCTAAACAGATCAAGCTAATGCTAAAGTGCTAAACAGATAAAGATAATGCTAAAGCGCTAAACAGATCAAGCTAATGCTAAAGCACTAACTCTTATCACAGACTTCTGTCGCTGACACTATAAGTCTGTAACAACGTTGTCAGTGAACACAACGCAGAACGGTTCATGAATCACAGGTAGTGTCCATGTCCCGCTCAGAGTTGAGCTTTCAGAAATTGATCCGGTCCATCGGAACCAAAGAGGCAGAGCAGAACTCTGCTGGGCTGAAGCAGAGTGATGCATTCAATGTGTGCTGGACATCTCCCTCATGTCATTGACTACTCACTTTAGCGATCCTCTTTGTGGTTAACTACTTTTATAAACTATGGGAACTACAAAGTTCCTGAGTGTCATCATCAATATTCTTTCAGTAATAAATCTTTGTATTAAAGTAAAGACGTGTGAAATGTGTGAGATAGTCCCGTCCCAGAGATGGTGAACATTGCAAAGCATGCTGGGTAGGAATTATGTGTGCGATGTTTCAGAGTGTATTTTCCTGTTCTGGTTTGACTTCATTTCTGTTATTGGCTGTAAACTGAGTCAGAGACTGTTTGAAGTAGATATGGGTGTGTGTGGGGGGGGTACACACAGCGAGGGTGATGATGTCACCGGGTGGTGTTTAGCTTCTCTTAGCATCACATTGATTTGTGCAAATCACCATTCTCTTGGGTTTTAGTGCGTAGCTCACAGCCTCTTCACGGCTCGCTCAGTGGATCAGTTCTTAACGACGCAGGTTAATTAGACACCTACGGATGTTAAGAAGGTCTTGACCTTTATGAAACCCGGCTGCTCTGAGTGAAGGGATTTGTTATGTGTAAACAATGATGGTTCTGACAGCGACCCACGGTGCAGTCAGAATGAGAGACGCTGCAGGATGGAGCTGGTTTTCCATTTATTGTTCTATAAAAACGGTTGGATAGTAAATTAAAGCATATTTTATATTTAAACGCAATAAATGAACCTTCTCTGCTGCTCCTTTGTCTCCTATAATTTATTGTTTGGACTGTTAGTATCTTACCTGCTGTAGATGACTCTTTGAACGACTTCAGTTTTAGAGAAACTGTTATTTTTTTACTAAAATGCTAACAGCTAGCATGAGCATAGCTAAGACTGCTGTCGTCTTGAAAAAACTCCACCCGCTAACGTTTCTTATCAGACCATAACTTTTTCAAAACCTTTCAGTTTTTCCCTAGAACAGTTCCTTTGGCAGGGTGCTTTGTCACTGGGGGTGGGGGTGGAGTCACGTTTGTGTTGCACGCTAGCTTAGCGCTATGTTACTGCTGGTATTGTCGCGGCGCAGCTGGGGGGGCGTCGGCAGGCAGGGCGCACGGTTCTGTTGACGGGGCAGAGCATCCTGGTGCATAATGGTAGGGGAGACACTGCCTTTAACTAATGGTGGCAGCAGCAGATAGCTGTAGCACTTCCAGCGTAGCCTGGGGCGCCTCCAGCAACAGCAACCATGTTGTTATTTCAAAAAAAGGTTAAATGTAGACCTGTCACCATAACAAATTTTACTGGGCGATTAATTGTCTCAGAAATTGTTGCGATAAATGATAATGTTTTGAAATTTGACAATAATTAGTAATTATTGTCAAATTTAAGAAGAAATGTTGGTCAATTGTTGTGTGTTGTACCTTTTTTGACCACTGGATGGCAGTATAAGACTGTTTGAACTGAAGGATGGATAGTGAGGGAGCGAGCAGTGTCTCTTTAAGAAAAATGTGAGGGAGGCCCCTTGACGTGACGTGGGCTGTCTCTCTTGGGTTCTCAAAATGACGGACGCTCGGTGTGGTTTGAGCTCTTTAACATTTTTCACACAAAGTTTTTAATAAAAATCAGTAAACAAGTTCTCAGCTTCTTTCTGCAGAAAAAAACAACTTTTTACACGAAGGCACGAGTTTCAACCGTGAATTCTGGAGCTTCGACAAGACGGAGGTTTTTTCCCTGGGTTGGCCTGTTAGCTTAGCTCGTAGCTTAGCTCCTCAGCTTTAGCTGCTTTTAACGATGCAAAAATGTGATTTTGCATCGTTAAAACAGATTTAAAGAGAAAGGGCGGGGTCAGTGAAGAACTGGAGTTGAGCCTTTTAAAAATCCAGAGTCTTCAGAAGAAAGAGAGACACGAAGAAACGATGAAGCTGATAAATGAAAATGAGATCAATAATTTTCATTTATCATGCGATTAATTGATTTATTGTTTATCACGACAGGTTTAGTTAAATATTTTGAAAAGCACAAGTCACAAAAACCAGAAGTCCCAGCAGTTAACTCCTGAACGAGCCGAACGTTTGGATACCTGAATGTCTAAAATCAGTCAAAGTGTTTGGATTAAAACAAGCCAGCCATAATCTGTAATAATCTGGTCAGCTCGGGTGTTTCTGCTTCATGTCGGTTCTCCCTCAGCCTGTGGCCTTCCTCCTTGTCGCTGCGTGTTTTACGGCGGCTCCTGTTGTGCTGATCCAGCTCGTGTTTTAATACGACCCGGGGCCCAGCTGAGATCAAACGCCTCCATCAGCGCCCGCCTGCAGCGCTGCTTATTAACGCACGCTCCGTACCTGCACGCGCAGCGTTTTACCTGCACAGGAAGGCTCCTCTTCCTTTACAGCAGCTGCAACAAATCAAACAGGAAGAGGGCGCATCGATTTATCTCTTCTGTTCCTTGTCCAGGACCCGACGCCGGTCAGATCCGCCTCTTTGCTTTGAAACAGGTTCTTGTCGTGTGACGACGCTTCAACAAACGAGTTGTCCTCTGCATTGGAGGACCGCTGAAAGCTTCTGGTTCTCATTACAAAACTCAAATAAAAAGCCGGTAGAGGGTCCAATCAGGCCTTGGCTTAACGAGGGCAACAGCAGGAGTGGCCTCATTAAGAGAAGCTGCTGTGGCGTTTTCTGATAAAGACGGGATGGAGGTAAAGGATGGAGCCACACCTCAACTAAAGCTGCTAACGTTTGCATTAAATGGGCCTCGCTGTTCTCAAGCATTGCCCTGAAAATACTCAGTGGTCTCAGTGTGAAGCTGCTCATCTCTTGCACATGAACGTCCAAGAAAGTGACTTTTACTTCAGTATTTCTTTTCCTACGTCTTCTTTAGGCGCAAGCGTTGCTCTCGTTTCTTTTAGACACACACAATCAGCATTTATTTTCTGTTTTTGTACATTTCATGAACCATCTAATGTTCAATACATTATGAAGCCAACGATGCATGAAAGGGTACCGGCACATTTAATGGACACTTTATGCTCCTTAAAGGAAGTAGCACAAGTATGTGATGATCCTCGTCATGGCTGTGAGTGGAGACAAACGCTCCGTCTTTTATGGATGGTTCTTTACCGTCCACAGCGAGCAGTGGTGGGACAAACGTCTCCAAGTGTGGAAAAGCAGCCTTCCATATGACCGTTAACTGTGCCACAAAGGGCTATAAAGGAAGTACAGTACTGCATATAAAGAGAAGCAGTACAGTAGTTTTAATTACTAAAACAAATCCAGAGCTGTCAAAACCTGAAAAAATGAACTGAATAAAACAAAGAAGTATCCAAGTGAGTACGTCAAGAATCTCAAGGCGGTGTTTCGACGGGCAGATCGCCCTGAAAGCCGGACGATCCCTTCATTGTGTTCGTGTCTGATGCGCTTCAGTCGGTGGGTCAAAGCCGTTTGCTTCACATGTGGAACACCAGATGTGAAGCAAACACAGCTGAGAGTGGCTCCATCGCTCCAATTGCAAGTCAAGTCGTATCCTATGGTTCGTTTCTGGCGCCACGCGTTGAGCGGTTCATTCTGCAGCCGGTGGCTTCATGTTCTCCTTGGAAAGAAGCCACAGAGGCTCATTTTGAAGACGGGCACCTCCACCCCCCGCTGTTTGTAACAAACGCACACAGATGCGTCCAAAGTTTGGGTCGGTCGAGTGATGTTTACCTGGACCATGTTGCTAGGAGACCAGGAGACGATTACCGTGGCATTCGCCACAAACACACGGAGAAGCTGCTTCCTTCCTTTCTGCTTGACGTAACCCTTTACTCTGAAAAGTCCTGTCAGAATTTCACTTTTCAAGGCAAAGCTGAGGAGCTTACCTTTAAAGAGCTCCAACGTAAAGCAGATGCAGGTAACTTCTTCGAGACAAACTTTCCTCAAAGCTGCTGTGGCCGTTGGACACCCTCAGCCATTAAAAAGTGATAACTGGCTGGATTCTCTGTTCTTTGCAACGCTACACGTCCATCCCCATGAGCTTTGTACATCTAACTGCTGCGCCAACATCTTTTCAGTTCCATCTGTGCAGCTTTGTACTGTAGTCTTAACTCGTACAGTAATTTTTAGTTGGACTGAGGTCTTGGGCTTCGACTCTTGGGGTTCACGATCCCACTGGAAGGTGAACGTTCATCCTCAGAAGTTGCCTTCAAGAATTTCCTCATTCTTTGGACCATCCTTCGTTCCTTTAACACACCTAGTTTCCCAGTCCCCACTGTTCAACATCCCCACAGCATAATTCAGCCACCACCGTGCTTCACTGTAGAGTTTTAGTCTCATTGGACCGCAGTCTGTTACGATCCTGGAGTGAACCCGACCCTGTTCTGTTCTTGCTTTGTCTTCGTGCGGTCTCTCGGTCGGTGGTAGTTCTTACTACTTGGGTGTAAAGTGTGAGGGGTTGTCGGAATAGCTAGTACTCAAGGCTGGCGTTCAGCTCTAGTGTTTCGGTCCTTTACACCTGATTTTTATCGTTCCTCATTGTGGAGCCAAGAGGGGGAAGAGGAGATACCCTCCAGGGTCCATGCATGATGTGTTGGAAAAAAGTGAGGTATTGACTTCCATTTTGATGCGAGGCTACATCTAGTCCTTGGTTGAAGAATGGTTGCCAAGTCAAAATCCAACATGGCCACTGTCACGTTTATGAAAAACTGGCCACGACAATCATTTGAGGAAACCATGCATTTTAATTTCTATATTGTTTAAAAGTACAAGTTCCTTAGATGATTCGGGTGGCACTTGGTGTGGCCAAAGTTTAATCTATGGTGACCAAGACCACCATTGGCCACCCCCTGGCTCTGCCCTTGAATATCTTGCAGCAGAAACATTAAGGGTTCCTTGTATTCCCCGTTCAGGTTGAGTAAAAACAAGAAAACAAACTTCTCAACAAGCATCGAGGTCATCAGTGTACCGCTCATTGACTTTATATACAAACATATTTATAAATTAGTTGTCTTGATATTTTTACTAATCTTACCTGCTGAGGCAAACCAAGGCAAACAGAATAAAAAAACATTTTTCAATTTATTTCCTGATATAAAATAAATGAATATTTACAATATTGACTTTTTAAAGTGGATACCTTGCAGTCACTGTTTGCATGTTTGGAGACTTGAGCAGAGCCTGTTCGTGATGTTCACCGTTGAGTCCGGCTCAACTTGCATGGTTTGTGTCCGTCGTGGACGTTTGTTGCCAGCTCTAAAACACCTCCTGCAGCTCGCAGTAGACTAAACACTGAAGTACCTGTGAGACTTTACCCACATCGTGTTTTGGTGGCCCTCCTTTGATCCTCTCTAACTCATCGTTGGGGCCCTTGATTATGTGCATTTCCTTTCTGTGTTTAAAGGTGGCGACTGTTTCGTACCTTGTGAAGGGTGACGAGGGTGAGCCCGTCTTTTATTTCAGCGTCTCTATGTGGAAGTAAATTATGCGCTGCAGTTGCCAGAGCGCCGTCGCCCGGGCAGCCTGTAATGACGGGCCTCGGATATTCTGGGGAAGGGATTTATAATCTGCTGGTTGTTTCCCATTGGCAGACCTACAGCAAAGCTTCCCTCAGGGAAAAATGTGTGGAACGTAACGCGAGCTGCTCAGAAAATTGGAACTTTATTCCTTTTTTTTTCTCCTGGAATGAAAAGGAGTTTCTTTAGTTACGGAGTGGCCCTCGAATCTTGGCCCATTCTGGAAAAAGTGTAACTTCTAAAACATTCATTGTTTCATTTTTTGTTTAGAGTTCGAGTGGAGCTTCAGCCAGGACCTGTCGGCCATCTTGGTGAAACAGGAGGAGCCCGATGGGGGTCAAAGGTTAGAACCGCAGCCGCTGGATAGCCCGACGCTCGTATTAAGCCCCGCCCCTCCTCACAGAGGATCACCATGGAAACACATGGTCAGCATCCACCAGACCTTTTTGTTTTTGCTCTGCTGTTTGTATTGGCCGATGATTTATGAGTTTGTCGTTTTCTCAGGATGACGTGAAGCCCGTTGCCATAAAGGATGAACCCGGAGAGATCGGACAGTACCTCAGCCTGCCCAGCGGTACACAGCGCCACACACACACACACACTCCTGCTGCATAAACAATCAAACTGAAGCCCCACGCTGACACTTACATTGTTGCCCGCCTTTTGCAGCGGTGGGCCATAAGGTTCTGGATCTTTACCAGATCAACAACTTTCATTTAGGAAAATATTCTGCTGTGATTCGTCGTCTGTGAGCAGGAACGCCTCGTTCAACTCTTTCTTTCCTGTTTAGACGATGCCCTCCAGCTCCCGCCCACCCCTCCCAGCAGTAACCATGGCGACAGCGACGGCTCACTCCCACCCTCCTCGCCGCACCTCCCTCTCCCACCGTCTTCCCCACAACCGCAACAGAGGTCGGGAGGTCGTGCCTCCTCCTCCTCCTCCTCGGCCATCTCCTCGTCCCCGCTCCTCACCGCTCCACATGTGAGCTTCTCTCTCCTCCACCCGTCACCAACTTCACTATTATTAGGACATTTGCAGCCATGTTGGGGTTAAATCGTTGCTCTGAGGATCACTTTGATCGGATGAGACATCTGAACCGCCGATTCACCGTTCTGTTTCCAGGAGAGTCCTGGATTACATTTATTAAACTTCAACAGCTCTGCAGAGTACAGCGTCAGTGGAAATTGGGAATTTGACTGTGCTGTAAACATACAGCAACATGGAAAACACTATTTAACCCCTGGAAGGTCTCTCAGGAGAAAGACCTCAGCTACGCTGATTTTGTCCATTTTAAAATTCAGTCCTGTATTTTTGGGTGCGTTCATTAAACTCAGTTGTTCCTGACAAAACCAGCAAAGCCCTGAAAATTGTTTTTGTTGTGCCAGAATAGTTTCAAACGCCCCGTTACTTCACAGTAACTTTACTGCCCTCTAGTGCTCTTTAGGGAGAAAATCCACCCTATTGAAATCCCATTATAAATGCATGTTCTAATCCCACAGATGGGCCTGTCACCAGAACAAGTTTCTCTGGGCGATTAATTGTCTCAGAAATTATTGAAATAAACGATAATGTTTGAAAGTTGACAGTAATTAGTAATTATTGTCAAATTTAAGAAGAAATGTTGGTTAATTTTTGAGTGCAGTACCTTTTTTGACCACTGGATGGCAGTATAAGACAGTTTGAACTGAAGGATGGATAGTGAGGGAGCGAGCAGCGTGTCTCTTTAATGTGAGGGAGGCCTCTTGACGTGGCATGGGCTGTCTCTCATTCCTTGTTTTTGGTTTTCAAAATGGCGGTCGCTCGGTGTGGTTTGAGCTCTTTAGCATTTTTCACACAAAGATTTTAATAAAAAACAGTAAACAAGTTCTCAGCTTCTTTTTACAGAGAAAAACAACTTTAAGGCACGGGTTTCAACCGTGAATTTTTGTAGCTTCGACAAGACGGAGGCTTTTTCTTGAGGTCGGCCTGTTAGCTTAGCTCGTAGCTTAGCTGCTTTTAACAATCCAAAAACGCGATTTTGGATTGTTAAAACGTTTTAACAGTTAAAAAACGTTTTTTTAATCAATATCTCAATACTTTAGATGTCTATATTAGCTCACTCTGTGATGTTTTGTTTTTTACACTTAAGATTATCTGTAAAAATTTAGCGGGACGGACTTCAGGTCCCCTCGAAGAGGTTCGTCTTTCCCGTCCGAGTTCCATCTCGAAATCGTTTCACTTTGGCTGTAAAGATCAAACGCTTACATGCTGCACGAGTAAACATTTAGTCCAAAGCAGTAGCTCCACATGCATGCAGGCTGCACAGTCAGGCGCGCCGCGGCTCAGAGCGGCCGACTCCGTTAGCTCGACTGAAATCAGGAGCGGCCCAAGCTCGTTAAATATCTGGGTCCATAAAAGCAAAAAAATGAAACTAACTGGCGTTGTGCACGGGTAGAATTTCAGAAAATAATTAAAAAAATTAATGGTTAAAAAATACAAAGAATTGTCCGTGTCTGACCTCGGAGCAACATGTCTGACAAATGTGACGAAAATCAAGACGTCGGCTTCCTGTTGTGGAGGATCCCAAACTGAAGTGGAATAAAAATGTAAATAAATAATCCTTTGGGGGTTCTGATGAGGGGAAAGGCCATAAAAAATAAAAGCCCTGAAACAGTTGTTTCAAAATAATTTAAGTTTGATATTTGTATTTCAGGCTGAGCGGCTCTGAAGGACTGCCTAGTTTATTGAGCACAAAGGCGGTCCATGTTTACGCCGAGACACCAACTGTCTTAAAGTTTCAGGACCTTCCGGGAGCTAAAGGCAGAATTAAAGCTTCTAAATTGTATTTTTTTATTCAACAGAAGCTGCAGGGTTCAGGACCCCTCCTGCTGACAGAAGAAGAGAAGAGGACTCTGGTCGCAGAAGGGTACCTGGTTCCCAACAAACTCCCCCTCACCAAGACCGAGGAGAAGGCGCTGAAGAGGGTCCGGCGGAAGATCAAGAACAAGGTGAGCTCGGCTGCTTTTCACTGCGAGGATGAGAAGCCAAGCACTGATGTGGTAGCTCCTGGAGTATGTGTTGAGAACCACTCTCGGCTACTACCACACCAAATGTTTGACTTTTAGCTGTTTTTATTATTACAAGCCGGACGTCTTACGGTACATTCTGCTTCCAAAAACGTTCTCTTGTCCGGGTCATAACGTCTGAGCCGCACAGAATATATTAATGAAGCGTCTGCATCTTCGTTAGACGGGATGTCACCTACACGTTTCATCACGCCAGCTCCAAGGTCAAGGTCACAAATCAAGGTCAATGTTAAAACAAAGTCTTGGCTTGTCTAGACCATAACATCCGATTCACTCAAGAATATTCAATAAAACTTCATAAATGTCTGCATCTTCATTACACGGGTGGCACCTACACATTTAATCACCTCAGCTCTAAGGTCAAGGTCACAAATCAAGGTCAAAGTTAAAACAAGGACTTTGC